CAAAGCTATACCTGGCTAAACCCATCCGGCCAGGTTATTGAGACGGCGTAGTTTCCCATTGGCCGTATTTCCTCAGGCTCGATATCTTCTGCTACATCCCCAAACTGAACCTTTTGTTCACCAGTCCATTCGTCCTGTTTAAACAAGGATTTAATAAAATAACAGTTTTGAGTTTGAAGAGGATTCTCGGGTCTTCCATACCACGCTTTGTGCAGATCGATCATTTCTTCTGACAGTTGCAGGGTGCAGTAAGAACTCTTCATCTGAGTTTGGCACCTTCACTCTAATCGCCTTAAGATATTTGTCGTATGTCACAGCTGTGGAAACTGTTAAGAACACGAGTTTTTTTCAAAATTGATAAGGGAAAGCACAGTTTTCTTCTTCTTCTATACATGCTTCTGTTTTTTTTTTTACCTTGCTGGCGTATCTTGGCGCACTGTTGTACTACACAGACCCCGAGGTCCTGGAACGTTCTTGCAACATCACTTAGAGGATCTGACACCACTTCAGGAGTTCCGCTATCCCCCGAAGCAGATAACTATTGGAACAAATGAAAAAATTGTTTAGAACAATGGGATAATTCTTCCTTCACCTGATATAACAAAACCACTAGCAGTGGAATGAGAAGAACATTCCAGGGACATCAAAACGGCTTTTCCATCAACTCAAATCAAAAAAGCTAAAGATGCAACAGCTGTTTCATACAAGTCTATAGATTTATTTTATACCGTTGGTCTAATGGGGAGGTCAAAGAGGTGAGGTATTCCGAATTGCTGGACAACCTGCAGCCAGGGACGAATTGTGTCACAAGTTATCTATATGTCTTGTTGTATATGCATTGAAATGTTCTTTTGTTTCCTCGAAAGATGGTACAAGTCAGCTACCTGGGAACCTGAACCTTTCCCAAAAGGGTAATAACGTTTTCCGTCAGCGTCAAAGTGGCACATATTCTCCACAACAGCAACACATGGCACCTACAAACAGGAAACAAAACTTGGACTTGTTCGTTCATAACTGTTGTTGCAAAGTAAAGAAAGAAAAACAAGTTCTTCACAAGCTCCATATAAGAAAAACTGGTGAAAAACCTTTAGCTTTGAGAACATCCGTACACCCTTGGCGACATCGATAAAGGCCAACTTTTGAGGGGTGGTCACAATTACCGCTGCTGTTAATGGCGCAACCTGAGTTGTTATACGCATTAGCTTCATCATGAAATGATTGAATAATGCACTCAAAACAATACTAGACCATCATACGTATGCGAATAAAATACCAAGTAAGAAAATTCATGATTATAGGATCTTCAGTTTGAACCTGGCATAAGGTCAGTTGAATGTCACCGGTTCCAGGAGGCATGTCGATAACAAGATAATCCAGCTCTCCCCTGCATCAACTTCCGGTTTAAGATTATGAGTTTCACGCTCTGTATAAATATGAAGGCATGATTATTTATGTAAATAAACAAACCATTCAGTTGTTGTGAGGAGTTGATTTATGACACCAGACACCATCGGACCTCTCATTATGGCACGCCCTTGCCCTGCAAATCCAAATGAGACTAGTTTGACCCCCAAGTATTCTGTTGGAATGATAGTCTTCTTCTCCGGGTTCTGTTGAACAGAGAGCAAATAGAAAAACTTAGACTGGGATCGCAAGACGAATAGTCAGAGAATATTTACCATTTCCAGAATACGGCTCTCAGGATTGACCATAGTTGGTAAACTTGGACCATAGACATCAGCATCAAAGATGCCAACTCTGGCACCCATACCAGCCAATGTATAAGCAAGATTTACAGCTACTGTTGATTTGCCAACACCTCCCTGAAAAGTTGAGCTAACACAAACGTGTCACGAACTAAAAAGATATTGCAAGTAAAGAAAGAATATGTACCTTGCAACTTGAGACAGCCACAATGCTTGAGATTCTTGATAATCCAGGGGGAAGCTGCCCTGCAAATATGGGCTTGGCTGGTTGTGCTGACATTTTGACGTTGACCTTCTTCACCCATGGAATCACTGCAACTACCTCATTTGCCTTTTGCTCAAACTACAAAACAATCGTCATGTTCTAAGCAAATTATCCAAAGAAAGAGAGAAAAGAAAACAAGTGGATGGTTTTTTGTCATTTACCATATCCTTGACTGGACATGCCGGTGTTGTCAGCTCCAAACGGAGAGAAACCTACACAAGAGAACCAAGCATGATGTTTTCAGCATCAAAACAAGGAGACAAAAATCAGCAAGAAAAAAAGTATTACCTCTCCCAGAGCTTTATCAATTCTTAAATCTTTCACAAAACCACATGAAACTATATCTGTTCCGAAATCAGGATCAATGATCTGAGACAATGCCTTCAACACATCTTTTTCTGATGTTTTAGCAACGCTCTCACCACTACTTGTACTGGCTGTGAAATGTCACAAGATCATATTTAGTACACTCATAGGGAACAGGTAGAGAATTGCAAACAACCAAACCAATGGCTTAACACAAGATCGTGTGGCTTGTCTGATATATTTGGAGGCCCAACTTATTATTTTTTTTTGTAAATTTTTACAATTCTATATCAAGATATACTCTTAGCTGATAGTTTGCTCTAAGAAAATGTTATAACTTGAATTATAATTATGATTTAGTAACATAAGTCAAGAATAACTCAGTTGGAATCGAGAACCTCCAATAACATTTAGAGTTGGAAGCGTAAACGAAGAAAGAGCAAACCTTTGTGATTGGTGTTGCCACTGTTTGAGCAGTTTATGGAGAGTCTTTGTCTGTTGCTACGATGCAACACTATCTGGGTTTGTGAGATTGCACCGTAAGATTGTTGCTTTTGATTGATAATGGTTGGTTTAGCTGAATTGGGAGCTAAAAACTGAAGAATTTTCATTTTTCTTTTTGTTTTTCCAAAGATTTTGGAAGCAAATGAAGAAAGGAACGATTTTGCGAAGATAAGCTCTTTATCTTCAACCGTTGAGGTGCTCTCGAATGCCTTTGGGTTCACGTGGCACTCCAAACTAATGGGCCTTTAGAACTTATATGGCCCATGACTATTTGGTTACCGGAATTGTTCTGGTTTTGACTGAAACCGATCGGTTTAATAAGAGAGACGAAAAACTTGTCACTTAACTTGGCAGACACCTCGATCTCATCGAAGCTCCTCTCCTCTTACATATCACTTCACACCAAAGCAAACCTA